TTAGTTTCCATGCTCCGCTCCTATCCGAGATAGAATTTCAGCAGCACCTCTCATTGTTCTCCCGATACACGCCCCGCAAGGAGAGTGTGTATCCGGAGAACAAACAGTGGTGATGCCTCCGTCTCGGACCGGAGCGGACCATGGAAATTAACCCATCTACGCATCTCGCTGGCTGTCCAAAAACGTGGACAATCAAAGCGAAACGCCACAGATATGAAAAGACACGCATAACTCCGACCGTATCTCTTTGGACGGGAGACGCCTAACTGGGATCAGCAACCTAAGACCACGATACGGATAGAGGGGTTATACCTAGGGTGCCGGTGAGGTCAGCTAGCTAAGCGGGGTCGTGGGCGAGTCGGTCTGATGGGCGCCACGACACGGTGCTTGAAGCAGACCGCATACGCCGACGAAGACAATTGGGGGTCACCGAGGTCCCTCCGCCGGGGCCTCCTCCTGCATAAAAAGGCAATACATTAGTGACAATTGAAAAAATCGGCAGAACCTCCCCTGCACGGGGAGGTTTCAAAAACCTGCAAAAAAGATCGGCACGAAGGCCAACATCAACAAACAACGGCTCGATGGCCGAAAACCACATACAACAACTATTACTACTAACAAGGGCTCGATGGCCGACATCCATTGCACGATTTGAATAGAAAGGGAAGGGTGAACCTAGTGTGCTCGTCGACGGTGGGCGGAGTCGGGAGCGGGGCGCCGAGGGCATGGCACCGCCGCTAACGAGGCATGGATAGCGGCTGGGGCTCCTCCTCCCTTCTTCCTCCTCCCTTCTCCTCTCCATCTCCCTTCTCCTTCTTCCTCCTCCCTTCTCCTCTCCTCCCTCCCTTCTTCCTTCTTCCTTCTTCCTCCTCCTTCTCCTTCTTCCTCCTCTTCTCTTCCTCCTCTTCTCCCCTTCCTTCTCTCCTCCTCCCTGCTCCTCCTACCTTCCCTGCCCACAAGGCGTGGCCAGGAAGGGGCCTTGGACACTGGTCGCCTGCCGAAAATGGCAAGACCAGACCACCACCACTGGGCGGCCGAGGCGAGGGGGGCGGGTCATGAGAGTGCTGGGAAGGCTGCCACGACTGGGGCGGGCGTGGACGACGACGGGGGGGGTGGGCGGTGTGTGTGTGGCGAGCTCACGGCTCATGGCGGTGGTCGACGAGGCCAGTGACAACAGGGGGTGGTGGTGTGGGGTGGGTGGGTGGGCGTGGGGGATGGCGGGTGGTGGGGGGGTTGGGGCTGGGTTGGGCCGGTGGGCTTTTAGTGCCCAGTTTTTTTTTCAACTTTGCCGAGTGCCCCCCATGGCACTCGGCAAAAAAAATTGATTTTGGGCCCAAATTTTTTTTCTGGGGCCTTGTGACAGTATTTCAAACTCTATTTTAAAATTTGGGGCAATTTTGACATTTTTTTATATATTTCAAACGAAATAAACTAATGAAATATATCAAAAAAAGTCAAAATTACACCAAATTTTAAAATAGAGTTTGAAATACTGTCACAACGCCCCAGAAAAAAATTTGGGCCCAAAATGCCGAGTGCCAGCCCAGGAGGCACTCGGCCAAATATGATTTTCAAAAATAAAAAAAAAATTGCCGAGTGCCTGGCGCTGGCACTCGGCAAAATAAGTTTTTAAAAAAATTACCGAGTGCCCAAGGCTTACACTCGGCAAAATATGTTTTTAAAAAATAAAAAAATTTGCCGAGTGCCTGGGTCTGGCTCTCGGCAAAATAAGTTTTAAAAAATAAAAAAAATTTGCCGAGTGCCTGTCTCTGGCACTCGGCAAAATATTTTTTAAAATAAAATTTGCCGAGTGCCCAGGAGGCACTCGGCGAAATATGTTTTTTTTTTAAATGCCGAGTGCCTGGGGCTGACACTCGACAAAATAAGTTTTTAAAAATAAAAAAAAATTGCCGAGTGCCAGCCGTTAGGCACTCGGCAAAATCTGACGGCAGGTGGCCGCCGTCACGGGCCGGCCACCTTTTGCCGAGTGGGATCTTTGCCGAGTGCCGCGGCACTTGGCAAAGCCCAGTTTTGCCGAGAGCCAGGCTTTACCGAGTGCCTGACACTCAGCAAAGCCACCTTTGCCGAGTGCTTTATTTTGCCGAGTGCGGCACTCGGCAAAATATTGCTTTGCCGAGTGCGGCACTCGGCAAAATATTGCTTTGCCGAGTGCTCCGATAAAAAAACACTCGGCAAAGTCCAGTTTTCCGGTAGTGGCTGCCCAGCACAAGCAACATATATAGACTGTTTGCGAGAGGCATCTTAACTCTGTAGAGTGCTGCTGGCTCATTTATGCAATGGCCATGGTTTAGTTGGTCGCGGCAGTAGATGGATCATGGATTTCTTGGTTGACCAGAACTTAATAAGTGGACACTAGAGACGATTCCTCAGTTCATGAATGTAATAATCTTGGCTCTTGCATGCAATGCATCCATGATCTATTGGATCAGACTGCAATAATGAATGTGTCCTTTTTTTTGTCGTTGTGCTGGCCGGTCTAGTGTTAATTTCACTCCAAAACTCCATGAGTACAAATATTTGTACATGCGCCATTGTGCACAAAAATATAATTCTACAAGATATTTGTCCACCCACCCACCCACCCATCGAGAACTGCTTCAATGATCCCTCTGTAAAAATTAACGCACGAATCCCAATGCAGGTGCACCCTTGTTAATTAAATTAATATTAATATTCAATTTACTCATGGGTTACACCTGGACCCTTCTTACCCAGGCCCACCCAGTCTAGCTCCGATCCATCCCAACGAACTCCGCAGTGCGGCGGCCCTATGTATGCTCCGTGTTCCTGCTTGTAGCCACATTCAATCATATACTTGACAAATGGGGTATTGTATAAGATTATTATGACACGTGGGTCCCATATATCAAAAACAATTTAATAACTGATGATAGGTAATATGGATCTTAATATATTATTCAATTGCAATTACTACTGCAAAACCGGTTTATAAATTGGAATTATATTAGGCTGGTATAATCAATTGAAGTTTAGAAACCAAACGAAGCAATAAATGCTACAGGCAGCACCAGTCTCCTTAATTCTGCCACGTCTGGTTGGTATGCATTTTGGCCGCTGAGCTGCTCGGGCCAGCGATTCGAGCGCCCAGAGATGACTAGAGTTCAGTGAAGCAAATACTCCGTCCCTTCTTATTTGCATGTCGTCCGTAGTCAAACATTTATATCTTCGACCCTCTTAAAAAAAATTATGTAGGTTGATAACATAAGATTTATGTTTTTAGATTCGATTCACTGTGAAAAATACTTTCGTAGTATATAAGCCATATGTTTGTAAAACTTTAAGGATTTTGTGAAATGCATGCTTAAAGATAGTAATGTTTTATCTAGGATAAACCTAGTGTGACGTGTAAAAAAAGAACGGAGAGAGTAACTATAATTGTGCATATAAATCATGAATATTTAGTACATTTTTATTACAGTCCAGGCGTCCAGCATACATATATATAAAAACAAGCTCGTGATGACAAATTAAATTATTTGAACGCAGCGGGCTAGAAATAAAATGCAACTCGCAACCAAAGTGACGTTTCCTTGTTGTTGGGCGCCTCGCCTCGGATTGGAATCACCTGCATGCATGCTGCCTTTAATTCCTTTGGACTTGGATCCACGCATGCATGTGTTAGTTCTCATGCTCGTTCGCTGAGGTCATCAGTTGGTACCCATGCGGTATTAAACTACAAGTGATCTCTTTAGCATCATATAAATTTGCCTTTGCATTGCATTCCAGCAAGTAGATAGGTTTATAATTCCGCATTTGTTATTATTTGCTTACTTTGGTCGTGTTGTCATCAAGCACCCAAAAGGGAGGAGATTGTAAGAAAAATGGATCATTGACCCATTTAGTTTGGATTTTGGTGTTTGACGATCAACACAACCAAGTTGGACTAATATGTTTTGGAAGAGTTTATTTCGTAGTCCAATAGATTGCATAGCGGACTTGGATTCGTTTGGAACGAGAAGAAGTTGATCCACATCGAAAAGAAGATCTTAGAAGAGGTAATTGATAGCCTAGAAGAGAAGAGAAGAGTCTAGGATGAGAAGAAAATGAAGCCCAGAAGAAGACACGCGAAGAATTTGGAAGCGCCAGCTACAATAGCAGCACCGGCCATATAGGTGGCACACCAGCCATCATACACCGCCCACCAAATCAGGGCTCCAATGGTCGGATTTTTACTGAGTAACGGCTAGCTGCCGTGGCAAGGCCGATGTGAACACCTATATAGCCAGTGCTTACGCAGAAAAATTGGTTTTTGCTCCAACGGCTAGTTTCTTGGACGGGGGTTATTTATACCCACCAACCAGCCAAAACAAGTGAGAGGGAGCTGAGGGAAGGTAGTAGTGTGCTTGAGCACCTATATAAAATCAATAAATGGGCAGAGCATATAACTTGGGAGACCGTGACAAGTCGAACTGCGCCTTGTAAACTGGACTGGAGGGGTTAACTTATATAAGACGTCTTCTAAGGTTGTAGCCTGTGTACCATGGCACCGGTGTATGGACTAGATATACTGTTTGGAATTTGTTCTGTTGTTTTCATTGTTCTGCTGAAGGTAATTCAACATAATTCTTAAATCTGCATCTAAATCAACCACACCTGTAATTATGAATGACAATTCATAGTAACCCTCTAAATTTATACTGTTTTCAAATAAAGACGCAGGAGAACCAACTGCCCTTTAATTTGTTGGATTGAGATAGAGGGTTACAATGAAGAATTGACCAATGAAGCATACATATATATAATATAATAAAAACAAGCTAGCACGTGACAAATTAAATAAATCATTTGAAAGCAGCAGGCTAGCTAGAAAAATGAAAATGCTGCCTTTAATATTTCCTTCGATCCATGCATGTGTTAATTGTCATGCTCGTTCGCTGAGGTCATCAGTTGGTATCCGTTCAGGAAGCAAAGGGCACAATTTAAAACTGGAACAGGTGGACTGCCCTCAAAAGAGTTAGCTACCCAGAGGCACGCGCAATCTTTATCGTCTTTGACAAGGTCGCAGCACCGCTGCTGGGACTCTTGATTTGTATATATTTGTCCTCGGCATAGAAGCAGTTACGGAAAGTGTCGCCCAGGCAATCAGGACCACCCTGTGCTTCACACAAGGACGCTGTGACTGAGACAAGCAGCAGCAACAGCAGCACACCAGCGCTGGTCTGGGCCGGCGCCGGCCCCCTGTTGATGACGACGGCGGCGGCCTCACTAACTCTCTTGCTGCCGGCGATGGAGACGGACGGCCGCCTAGCTAGCGCGCGCGCGGCTGCTGACGATAGATATTGTATATATCTTACTATTAATAATTCTCACGGACATGCTAGGAAAAAAGATAAATGCTAGAAATTGTCACATTAATCAGAAACATCTGATCATTAATCGGAAAGACTTTAGCTATCTATAACCAATAGATCTATTTTCTTTTTTTTAGAAAAAAATACTCACCTCCATTGTTACAAATAGAAAATAGCCTAAAATATTATTGCCGAAAAAAATATGGCCGCACGGCAGAAAATTTGATCGGCTGTTGGTTAATAAAATATCTAATATAATTGGTATCTAATATAATTGGTACTACGATCACGTTAAAAGTTGGTTAATATATTATAAAATATTAGTCCTTACGTGAACGGTTAGCCTAAATTATCATCGCCCACCGCCGTTGATTGATAAAATATCTAATATGTACTACCGATCACGTAAAGGTTGGTTCATATAACACATTAATAAAATATATGTATGTATTAATAGGATATATGCCCATGATGTTCGGGATTGGTTAATCTTTTAATAAAAAAATCAAATAGAAATAAAGTTTGTTTATTAATATCAACCCCAACAAAAAAAGATATACTTGCGCTGGACTGCTGGTAAAAGGGGTCTGACAGTCTAAAACAGCGAGAGAATTTTTTTCAACCGCATGGAAATAATAAGCCATTTGTTTGGAATTTGTTCTGTTGTTTTCATTGTTCGGCTGAAGGTAATTCAACATAATTCTTAAATCTGCATCTAAATCAACCACACCTGTAATTATGAATGACAATTCATAGGAACCCTCTAAATTTATGCCTAAACTATCCATCTCAGTCGTTATGAAAGTTAATTTGAAATAATCTTCTAATATTTTTGTATATTACACCATTTTTCTGCACTAATTTTGTCACATCCCCAATTTTGAAAGGCGCAAGACCTACATCATCTTTAAGCTCTGATTTTGGCAAAGTGCCACAACTTTGGCCATGGCCAATATTTGGAGCCTTTTCATTATATTTTATACATACAGAAACAGGGTCATACAAATATAGTAATTTATATAAATTGCCAACAGAAAACTTACTTCCAGAAGTCCAAGTGTCATCAAATCGGGCCCTAGTCAGTTTTGGAGGTCGTTGGATCTTGAATTTCTCAGGGGATAAACCATAGGAACCCAAAACATCCAAGACTTTGTGAACCCGCTCATTACCATCATCACATCTAACTTCAACATTAAGGTCCTTCAATACAAGGGATTGCTTCCTTAGGTCATAACTTGCTCCTATTTCCACTAATCTCTCATGTATCTGTCAGAACATGTATACCAAGTTAGGCCATCATACATGTTTACTTTAAATAGACAGATTATTATCACAGAGAATTCATGCACCTCGGGAGGCTCAAACTGAATAATGAGCTTCTCTTGAACTGGTGAGCGCTGGAGAAAGCATATTAATGCACCAAGGTTATTAGTAATGCACCACTCATTGAGTAACAAAGTTTTTAACTTGCTAAATACTGGGCATCGCGTCAAATCCTTCCTGAAAATGAACTGCATAAAGGAAAATTTAGTAAGAATAACTCAACATCTCAACTTGTGCAGTACAAGAAGCATGATGAGGGGATGCAACTGAAGTGAATAGGACCATTCAGTATGTATTTAACATTCAAAACTGGCTAGGTGTCATGACATGATTTTGGCCACAGTTATCTACACAATACATATTTCCCAATGGCTATTCCAGGTTCCAACTAAGAAACAAATGCAAGGACAGAATGGAAGGCGAACAATGAAAAACAGTTAAGTGCTAATGGAAAACATACCGGTGCTGTTGCAGCTGTTAACTCCAGATTTGTACAGCTTGACAAACCATGAAGAAGAATGCAATTATTCTTTCCATAGTTGTCCTCATAGAACTGGCATCCCCAACATGACTCGTCCCTGCAATCACCAATCTCATAACTATGTTTACAAAAATCATTGCAGTATCCAAGTCTGATAAATGCCTCCACTAGGTACGGCATGCTCACGAGCAATGGAGTCATTCCCATACAGTCAACTAACAGAAGGAGAATGAGATTTGAGGCATATATTTGGGTACGGGCATACCCAATGAAGTGACATTGTGCGACCATGAGACGCTTTAGTGACGGGGACATGATTCTATCACAGTAAATGCCACAATCAGTCATCTTCAGATGCTTTAGAGACACAACTTGAGAAATCCAGATCGTCCTGTGTCTTGACCCGGGTAAGCTTAAGTGCTGTCAGGTGCTCCGAGGTGATAAGTCCCTTGGGAAGCAGCCAGCGTTGATATTTATCGTGGCTGGTGACAGAGAGTTTGGCAACTGGGCATGATAAACTGTAGCGAATCCAAAGCTCCAAATACTGGACAGCCTCATCAAAATTGTCACCTCCATAGGAGCTGAATTCGGCCACATGGAGAGGTAACCGGTTGCGGAAGAACAGCAGGTCGTTGACGAACCTGTTCAGGGCACTTGCGCCACAGTACCCCGACGTGGTGGCAGGGGTGATGCGGAGAGCAGGCACCTCCTTCCACAGGTTGCGCCAGCGGCGGGCAAGCACACACGTCCGCACTGCGTCCCTCGATGGAAGGAAGGACAGAAGGTCCAGCAGCAGACCTTCTGGGAGCCCACTGAGTCGGTCTGTACTTCCATCCGCAGTCTTCCTCTTGCTCCTCGCGGCCTCACTCCCCTGAGACATTCCGTCGAACAGGTGCTGACCGTCCGGTCTGGAACGTCAAATAAAACAAATCCTGAGGTGTCCCGGAGAGAGCGAGAGGGAGAGAGAGACAGACAATCAGACTTTACTCACCGCGTGACCGCCTCGCCGATGTGCCTGCAGCTCGCGTCGCCGCCGCCGACGAAGTCGGGGGGAGACTGGAGAGGGAGAGCGGACACCGAGTTTTTTTTTTTTTACACAGAGCGGACACCGAGTTGGTTGGTCCAAATGGATGGGAAGTGCTGGTTCGTCTGTGATTAGAAAATTTATAGAAGATTCTCAAAAAAATATAGAAAAAATATTCTAAAAATAAAACCAGTTGCATTTTTTTCTAAAAAAACATGTTCTATTTTTTTCTTATTTAAGACTCTGAATTATATATCCTAAAATCTAAAACTGGATCATCAAATATGAAATAGAGGATGCATATCAAGACTAATCTTTGCAAACCGCAACGTAAATTTGTGTACCCTATGCAAACTAAAAAAATGTTTCCTCAGGAGCAATATCTTACTTAACCATTGAGACATGCATGGAAAATTGCAAATAAAATGTAATTCAAGCCCTGATTGCACATTAACAACATAAATCATGTGATTTAACTTTATAGGAACATTGTCTTTTTCTATGGGACTCATGTTAATGACATGTGCATTGGACCATAATCGGCGGCCAGTGGCGTGCGACTTGGACGGTTCAACTTCTCAGACTCTTGAACCGATGTTTGCAACTTGGTTGACAACATCCGAATGATGCGACAGTTTCGTCGTTCCTTGTTGTCATCGTAGTTGCACACGCACTAAAACACATGATCGAGGAGGAAGATAATTTGAATGGGCTTGAGATGCCGTACTTTTTCTAAAATCACGTTCTATATTATGGTGCTTAGCTTAGAAATACAGAAAAAATATGAAACTGGTTTCATATTTTCTTGTGTTAAAACAATCTTTCTTTAAATTTTCTAATACTAAATCAGAGTTTAGTATTTTTAAATGTATATCTATTCTAGAAAAAATATTTAGATATTTTGGAAATTTTATTTCTACAATTTTATGAAGTCTAATTAACATCCCTGAATCGTGTTGAAAGCAATTTGCTGACGTGCTGCCACATTATCTGTCTTATACGGTGTCGCGTTAACTCTAAGGAAGGTAAATTGGACTTTCATGACAGGTCAGACAATTTTAAGAGTTAAGGGAGTTTAAGAGCATCTTCAAAACCCACTCCCAATCTTGGTTCTTTGGCAAGATTAAAAAAAACTCTCCAACAACTCACTATCTCAACTCTCAATCTTTTCCGCACTTGGTATAATCGACCTAATTGCGATGATATACACGCTGAGTATCCATTGACCAATCCAAAGGTGGAAGAATGTGGGAAATAATAAGGAGTAGGACAGGTTCCTGATGCAAATGTACAAGAGAGAAAGAAAATATAAAAGTAGTTGGTATGATTTAGATTACTAATGCAAAATTACCTTCTATCTTTTAGGAGCGGGATTTTAGAAATGGTTGAAGAAAGCCAACAAATATGTTGCTAACTTTTTTTAGTAACTTGGAAAACTATTAATTTACTAAGTGATTTTTTGGAAACTATTAGAGATGCTCCAAAAATCTGGTTTTTCAATTCACAAAGATAAATCAGACTAGCACAATAATTAAGAAAGGTTAGAACTAGTGTTACGCGTTGAGCTGATGCTTTGGAGGCCCAACTATTTGGGTGCCTTGGGCCGGTACTGACGCGGGATCGCCCAGACGCATGTGGCAGGTACGCCCTCGTCGACGCCTGGGTGTCTGTTCAAATCTGGTTGTCACTGTTGAGTGTTGACACAGGTTCCAATCCATGATCAGTGTAACCAGTATATATGAGGAAATAGAGATAGAGTTAAAAAATTTGCTAATAGGTTCCTGTTGTCTTATCATGGGCCGATTCCTATAGTATTACATGTAATATTTTTTTTTTTTACCTTTTGTACCATGTAGACCGTTAAAAAATATGGGTACTCAGGCCGGTGTAACCGGTCCGGTGTCCAAATAGTCCTACAAAGCCATCCAGGCTAATATTTAAATATTATTAGATATTTTAAATGTTACAATATCAGGTTTTATAGTCGAGGAGTTTATATAGTTAACCCTTTATATGTAAGGGGTTATTGGACTTTTTCAGATCGCCACATTAGTGAAATCAACTTCAAAACCATCTTAAGAGGTTCTTTAGATTATTTTTAGTAGTTTAAGAGTTAAAATATTTGGTTTTATAAGTAAGGGTGTGAAGTAGACAACCACCGATATAAGACCACAATTTTTAACAACCTTAATATGTTCCGTAGTCGTTGCTGGTCAAAAACAAAACAAACTAGTGGACACGGCCTTGGAGTAAAGAGAGTCGGCGCTCAAGCCGCCATTTTCTTCTTTCTCTCACTCTCTTCTTTCACGGTTCGTCTATTCCTTATCCCTCTTTCGTTCCTCGGTTCGAGGTCCATCATTCTCGCCCTTCTTGCTTTTAGTTTGGAGCTATAAAACTTTCGTTGACGTTACACCACTTATGTCATGTCTTAGCCGCTTGAGCTTTTGTATTCGGACATGTTGCTCACATTTCATCTTTTTTAAGCTCACAACAACTGCACACTGGAATTTACAGAGGTTAACTCTTTATTGTACCATTTATTATGAGTCTAGGAATTTAGTTGATTTAGTGTTGGACAAGGCTAACTAGGTTCAACAAAAAAAAAATAGCCAACTTATTTCCATCCTAGCTCTGTGACCTCTTCGGACGTCTATGAAATTTAGCTCAGTCTAGGCTTTCGTTCTATTTTGTTTCTGCTGTTTTTCTGAGAAACTGGCTTCCCCAGTCTTGTATCAAACTTTGCTTTCTTAAAAGCTGAGGTAAAACTCTCGTTAAAAAAATTGTATATTCCATTGCAACAGTATGTTTGGTAATACTAGAAAATATAGGGTTCTCAAACCATCTGAAAATAACACTATATATTTTTATAATTTTATAGTAAAAGTTGTCTGAAAAAATATAAATATTAATGCTATTTTCTAGAAATAAATGTTACTAAAATAATTTTCTAATGAGTTTTTTTAGAAGAATTAATTTCTAATGAGTTGACTCATCGACGACGGAGTGAGAATGTTTTAGACTTGACCACGCACAAGCCCACGCCGCGGCCACGTCAAACGGCACCACTCCCCGTGACCTCGTCTCCCATTTCGACCACCATGGCCGCCGCCGCCGCCGCCGCCACAACTGCAGCCGCAGACGCAGCCCGAGACGGGCAGACAGCCCTCGATCTCCGCCTCGCCAAGCACCTCACGCCCCCGCCTCCCGCCGCCGCCTAAGCCACCAACAACCACAACCACAACGTCGCGTTCTCGCCGGTGTCCGTGCACGCGGCGCTGGCGCTGACGGCCGCGGGCGCAGCTGCTCGCCTTCCTCGGCGCCCCATCGGCCGAGGGGCTCGCCGACTTCGGCCGCCGCGTCGCGGACCGCGTCCTCGCCGACCGCTCCGACGCCGGCGGGCCGCGGGTGCTCTTCGGCGGAGGCGTTTGGGTGGACGCCGCCTGCCGCTCACAGACGCGTTCCGCGACGTCGCAGCCGAGGCCTACAAGTCGGAGGCGAGAACCGTGAGCTTCACCGATGAGGTTAGTAGATTAGATTAGCTGCTTTTTTTCCCTCGTTCCAAGTTTCCAACACAATACTACTATTCCCTGCAAAAAGATATTTAATCGTTGTGACATTTGGATATCTGTGCTTCAACTCTCTTGCATTGTGAGATGATCAATATATAAACCAAGATGCTGGATGAATTTAGATCAGATTAGGCGCCTTATTTCCTATTCTATTAGGATTGGATGAGATGGAGAAAATTACATCCTGCCATCATTTACATACAAAATTCTTGTTATCAAACTTGATTTTTACATCACTAATCATAAATAGTAACAGTTTAACCCCAGGCTTCATTTGTTCATTTTACTACCTTGCATTGCATATTGTAGGCACACATACATATATATATATATATATATATATATATATATATATATATATATATATATTGTGATCCATCACGCACGTTCACTAATAGCACATTGTGTGTGGTACAGCAGCCCGAGGCCGCTGTGAAGATGATCAACTAGTGGGTGAAGAAGGCTACGGACAACCTCATCGACTCCATGATCTCCACCGACGACATCAACGCCGCCACCGACCTCGTGCTCGCCAACGCCATCTACTTCAAAGGCGACTGGATGGAGCCATTTCAACTCAGTTCACATCCCGGCACGTTCCAACGGCTCGACGGAGGCCACGTCGAGGTGGATTTCATGGAGAAATACCGGAGGATGGACGTTGCCTACATGGACGGGTTCAAGGTCCTAAAGCTACCTTACAAGCTCGGCGCCGCACCACCGGCTCATGGCCAGCTCAAGCGCCGCCGTGGGCAGGTCGACACAAAGTCCAAGGACATGCCCTCGACGGAGGTCAACGAGAGCACACGGTACTCCATGTTTGTCTTCCTCCCGGACACGTGTGGCGGCATGGCGACCATGGTGGACGTGATCACCGCTGGCGCGCCAAAGACATTCATGTACAACATATCTTGGCGAGATGAAGTTGCGGGATGTGGACCTTTTTTTTCGAAAGATCCGTTACCGGCTTTCATTGATAAGTGGAGAGCATATTATTTACAAAGGTTTGGCACAAAGATCGCCAAATTGCATGGCTTTCACATCCTAGTGAGAGCCATGCCACCCCTAGGTTTTATAGTTACATCTTACATAGGATTTATAGCATCTCAGGGAGGCTGCTCCAATGGAGGCAACAGTTCTTCTAGTCCTCTATTTCCGCCCGTACCACGTTCTTGCCGTCTTGTATGGCTCAAGACTTGCTCTCGTGTTACGGAGGATCTTTGGAAAACCCGATTGTTCCTTTCCTTCCATATTTCCCAGGTTGTCAGCATGATCATCGAGTGTACC